CAGACATGAACCTATAAGTATTGTTGCTGTTTATTTTTATTTTTACTGTACACTCAACGTGCCAGAGGAATAGAATAGAGCCCGCAGCAAAAGTTTCTGGTTTTTCTGTTATGGAGTACACCTAATTTCTACGAGCTTCCGGTTTGAATCTATCTCGTAGTGAACATCTTGAAAATGAATCAGTAAGGCGGAACAAGAAATAGACAGTCTCGAAGAGTCAGCTTATTTCAACTCCGTACAATCCTATCTCCCTTGTGAATTATATTTTAATAGTCTATTCTAAAGGAAAAGAACGAGACAGACAGACATAGAAATAGATCATAAAAAAATGGGGTACTACAGCGACACCTAGATTAAAGTGAACAAACAGTTTGTGCTTCACTTTCTAAAGCTATGCAAAGACTACGGCGCTCACTCGCGATGTGTGGTTGGACTTTCCAGCGACAGACTGTGAATGTGAACAGGAAGAGAACAGATTTAGTCATGGCTAAGTAATGTCTGCACACAGCACCTAATCACATTAGGATTTTCCGTTCCCCAAACACTGGATGGCTTTGTACGGCGGCGCACCAGCAGTGTGACTTTTCAATCTTAGGCGACACTGAGCATCTGCAAAGGAGGCAAAGGATATTCACAACTCACAGCTTCGTGTGGGCATAGTGTGAAGGGACAGGGGCTTGCTGTCGCAATTAGAACATGTCATTAATGTAAAAAGTTAAACAAAAGAGGATTTATTTAGTATACAAGAACTCTGACTAACCAACAAGAGGATGATTCTTATTACAAAGGTGTCAGATGTGTTGTAATGAGTGCTGAGGTGATGTGGAAAGTACAACTGAAATAACCATGAACATAGAACGCCCTACCAAACAGTAATGTGTTGTCTTAGTATATGTCCAAGGGTTGGAGTGGGAGGGGGACAGTTTGACTTGATGTCATGATCCAGGCAGAGTCGGAAGTGGAACAGGATTGGGGAAATGCGCCACATAGTGTGGGATCCCCCTCTCCCTACCATACATATGCCCTTGAAAGTAGAATAGGAGGAAGTCCTGACTTTGACAGTTTTGTGGTTTCACATGGCAGATAGAAAACTCTAGGGATTGAATGTGCCAGAAACATGTTCAATCAGCTTTGACAGTGTGTGTGTGGGGGACGGTTTCAACCTGGTCACAGAGCATTTCGTATTATTCTGTATGTAAATCTCAAACACGTTTCGTATGGTTACATAAGACAGATGGTTACTTAAGGCAAAAACAAAAGTATGGTGGTTGGTTGGGGTGGATGGGTGGGCGTATAACGCAAACGTCTAGCGAGTTCGAATGTCATCACGGACACCTTTAGCATTTTAGCTAATTAGCAACTTTTAAAATGACTTACTACTTTTTAGCTACTTTGCAACTACTTAGCTTGTTAGCTAACCCTTCCCCTAACCCTATCCTTAACCCTTTTAGCTAACCCTACTCCTAACCCTAACTTTAAACCTTTTAGCTAACCCTTCCCCTAACCTTTTAACCTAACTCCTAAATTTAACCCTAACCTTAACCCCTAACCCTAACCCCTAGCCTAGCAAAAGTTAGCCACCTAGCTAGAATTTGTAACATATCATACATTTTGCAAAATCGTAACATATCATACGTTTTGCAAATTCGTAACATATTGTACATTTTACACATTTGTAACATATACACATTTTGCAAATTTGTAACATATTCTACGTTTTGCAAATTCGTAACAGATAATATGAATTGTAATTCGTAACATATCATACGAAATGGGCGATGGACATCCACAAATTAATACATACCATACGCAACGTAACATATCATACTAAATGGCATGTCTCGGATTTACGAAATGCTTTGAGACCAGGTTGGGGTGAGACTGTGTGTGTGTGTGTGTGTGTGTGTATACAGTGCCTTCAGAAAGTATTCAAACCCCTTGACCTTTTCCACATTTTGTTGAGTTACCTGATTTCAAAATGGATGAAATTCAGATTGTTTTGTCACTGGCCTACACACAATTCCCCATAATGTCAAAGTGGAATAATGTTCTTCTAAATTTTTTACAAATGAATTAAAAATGAAAAGCTGAAATGTCTTGAGTCAATTAGTATTCAAACCCTTTGTATGGCAAGCCTAAATATGTTCAGGAGTAAAAATGTGCTTAACAAGTCACATAATAATTTGCATGGACTCACTCTCTGTGCAAAAATAGTGTTTAACATGATTTTTGAATGACTGCCTCATCTCTGTACCCCACACATACAATTATCTGTAAGGTCCCTCAGTCAAGCAGTGCATTTCAAACAGATTCAACCACAAAGACCAGGGAGGTATTCCAATGCCTTGCAAAGTAGGGCACCTATTGGTAGATGGGTAAAAAAACAAACAGACATTGAATATCCTTTTGAGCATGGGGAAGTTGTTCATTACACTTTGGATGGTGTATCAATACCCCCAGTCACCAAAGATACAGACGTCCTTCCTAACTCAGTTGCCGGAGAGGAAGGAAACCGCTCAGGGCTTTCACCATGAGGCCAATGTTGACTTTAAAACAGTTATAGAGTTTAATGGCTGTGATAGGAGAAAACTGAGGATGGATCAACAACATTGTAGTTTCTCCACAATACTAACCTAATTGATAGAGTGAAAAGAAGGAAGCTTGTATAGAATACAAATATTCCAAAACATGCATCCTCTAAAGTAATACTGCAAAACATGTGGCAAAGCAATTCACTTTTTGTCCTGAATACAAAGTGTTATGTTTGGGGCAAATCCAATACAACACATTACTGAGTACCACTCTCCATATTTTCAAGCATAGTGGTGGCTGCATCATGTTATGGGTATGCTTGAAATCGTTAAGGACTGGGGAGTTTTTCAGGATAAAAAAGAAACAGAATGGAGCTAAGCACAGGCAAAATCCTAGAGGATAACCTGGTTCAGTCTGCTTTCCACCAGACACAGGGAGATGAATTTACCTTTCAGCAGCACAATAACCTAAAACACTGGAGTTGCTTACCAAGAAGACAATGAATGTTCCTGAGTGGCCGAGTTACAGTTTTGACTTAAATCTGCTTGTAAATCTATGGCAAGACCTGAAAATGGTTGCCTAGTAATGATCAACAACCAATTTGACAGAGCTTGAAGAATTTTGAAAATAATAATGGTCAAATGTTGCACAATCCAGGTGTGGAAAGCTCTTAGAAACGTACCCAGAAAGACTCACAGCTGTAATCGCTGCCAAAGGTGCTTCTACAAAGTATTGACTCAGGGGTGTGAATACTTATGTAAATTAGATATTTCTGTATGTAATTTTCATAAATGTGCACAAATTTATAAAAACATGTTTTCACTTTGACATTATGGGGTATTGTGTGTAGACGGATGACAAAACATCTATTTAATCAATTTTGAATTCGAGCTGTAACACAACAAAATGTTGAATAAGTCAAGGGGTATGAATACTTTCTGAAGGCACTGTATGTACTATGAACGTGTGTGTATAATTATGTGTGTGTGAGTACATGTGTGTTTACCACATACGTGTGTCTAGGTGTATCTGTGTACGTGTGTCTGGGTGTGTATGTGTACATGTGTCTGGGTGTGTATGTGTACTTGTGTCTGGGTGTGTATGTGTACATGTGTCTGGGTGTGTATGTGTACGTGTGTCTGGGTGTGTACGTGTGTCTGGGTGTGTATGTGTACGTGTGTCTGGGTGTGTATGTGTACATGTGTCTGGGTATGGATGTGTACGTGTGTCTGGGTGTGTACGTGTGTCTGGGTGTGTATGTGTACGTGTGTCTGGGTGTGTATGTGTACATGTGTCTGGGTATGTATGTGTACGTGTGTCTGGGTGTGTACGTGTGTCTGGGTGTGTATGTGTACGTGTGTCTGGGTGTGTATGTGTACATGTGTCTGGGTATGGATGTGTACGTGTGTCTGGGTGTGTACGTGTGTCTGGGTGTGTATGTGTACGTGTGTCTGGGTGTGTATGTGTACGTGTGTCTGGGTGTGTATGTGTACATGTGTCTGGGTGTGTACGTGTGTCTGGGTGTGTATGTGTACGTGTGTCTGGGTGTGTATGTGTACATGTGTGGTGTACAGTAAGTGAGTGTATGGTTGATAAGGCATTCATTGATCAGGGTCACTAACATTTTACTTTTCTCACCACAACAACAATCATTGAGTTTGCCTGTCTCAGATATTGAAAGAGAGACAGACGAGAACAATTTCCCAGGTAATGTCCAAAATGGCACCCAATTCCCTATGAAGTGCACTACTTCTGATCAGACTAGTCTGTGTGCTAGTCTCTGTTCTACCAGGCAGACAGGAGCTCATAGGGCTACACATTCCTTTATTAAATGACAAACCCACCCTGGTCTCTTTCTCTGGGCCCGTCATACTTCCTGTAGCCTCAGCCAGGTTGGACCGCAGCATACTTCTGGCGTGAGCTGTTGTCCTACTTTTCTTTTTTCTCTCTCATCTGCTACTCTGTTACTTTACACTACACACTAGTCGGTACTGTTATATTCCACACTATGACTTTTCTTTACACTACAAATATCGTCTCAAAACATCACAGTACAGGCTACTACAGTGTAATACTCTAGGTATACAATACAATAAATGTTTATTGATCCATTATAGAAACGACACCTTACAACACACACAACAGGCTAGGAGCAGCACAGGGTCACTCTCCGGTGGCTGGCCCGCTTATCTAACCTCCAGGCTACCACCGCCCACGAACAGCACCATAACCCTGGTCCCATGTTGATGATGTCAGTTGTGTTTGAGAAAGGTCCCCACTGGCAGATAGTTCATGTCCCTCTAGGTATGAACAGTGCCATCACCTTGTGGCAGTTCTTGAACTTGCCAACAGTCGTTGATGTTGGTGATGTGTCTGTCGCAATCCCATATTGAGGACGTCAGAGGTGTGTTCTTCTTGGTACCGACAGTAAAATCATAACCATAGCCCTTATAACCCTTGCTGTAGGTATGGACAGTGCCATCACGTTGTGGCAATTCCTGCTGCAACTTCTCCTGGACCAGAGCCACAAGCACCTGATCTGCTGGACGTCCACTGACGGGGAGTTCAAACTGCTCAAGTCAGAGGAGGTGGCCAAGCTATGGGGGCTCCGCAAGAACAAGACTAATATGAACTATGACAAGCTCAGCAGAGCACTGAGATACTACTATGACAAGGTGCAATACACTCTCACTACACCTACACCTACACACACATGGCGGCAGGTAGCTTAGTGGGTAAGAGCGTTGTGCCAGTAACTGAAAGGTCGCTGGTTCTAATCCCCGAGCCGACTAGGTGAAAAATCTGTCGATGTGCCCTTAAGCAAGGTACTTAACCCTAATTGCTCCTGTAAGTCGCTCTGGATAAGAGCGTCTGCTAAATGTATAATAAATAAAATAAATAATAATAACACTACCCAGACACTACACTAACTGTACTACACATAAATAACAAGACCAACATGAACTATGAGAAGCTGAGCAGAGCACTCAAATACTACTATGACAAGGTAGAATACAATCATATCACAATACATTCTTATAAAAAAGGATTCTCAAAAGGTTCTTTCATCCAGATTTTTTTTGGGTTCTAAGTAGCACCTTTCTTTCAAAGAGTATCTGTAAACTTTTAATTTGACATTTGGGTCGATGTGACCTTTCTCAAAACATTACTTGAGTGAGCCCATTTAGTGTTAAACACTCTCACATAGGGGAAAATCTCACTTAGTTGTTCTTCTTTTTCAACCAAAGATCCCCACTGGCAGATAGTTCCACTTCCACTTCCTCTTCTCACCTTAACAACAGCACAGCCATATACGGTGATGCATCTCTCAAACACATGTAAGGGCCATTTTGCGATAATTTTTGTGTGGCTTTGGTAGAATATATCTATGATAGAAATGTGGTGAAATCAAAATGGCCCCGTCAACACTGATCATTTAGGGTTCTGTTATTCGTTGACAACAGAAATAAAAATGTATATTGTTGTTATCAGCTAATAAATGTGTAATAGAGCTTTTGACTATTAATGAAGAAATAGGATGTATGAAGAAAATACAAGGTAAATCAGGAGGTCATTTTAAGGTTCAACCTGCACACTAATCCCACCCTCCTCTCTGTTCCAGAACATCATCAAGAAAGTGATCGGCCAGAAGTTTGTCTACAAGTTTGTCTCGTTCCCGGAGATCTTGAAGATGGACCCTGCGGCGGTAGAGATGGGCTTGACGTCCGGCAGGGTGACCCTCCACGAGGATGACGTCAGGGACCTAGACGTAGAGGAGGAAGAGGAGGAGGAGGAGGAGGAGGCACAGCAGCAGAGGAGAGCCCTGGGGGCAGCGTTGGGGGCGGCTGCTGCGGCTCAGCAGGCTGCGTGTCGTAACGACTACCTCCGCTCTGGTCTCTACTCCTCCTTCAGCATCAGCTCCCTCCATCATCCTCCAGAGGAGCTGCTCAGAGCCTTGAGGGAGAGGCAGGAAAGACAGCAGGACGAGGCCCAATCCGGAGTCATCCGCTTCGGGGCCGGTACCACAGAGCGAACTCCACCCTCACCCTCCCTCATCAAGCCTTCATCACAATCCTTCAGCACCCACAGTCCATCTAAACCCTCCCCCCTCCACCACCATCACCACCGGCGCTCCCCGTCCTCCTCCCCTCCCAGCCCTAACCCCCAGCCCGGACCGGGGCGAGGAGGCTGGAGCCCAGAGGCTGAAGAGGAGGAGGGTGAGGACTCTGACCAGGGGGCCCAGCCCTTGAATCTCTCCTCTGGACACAGAGAGAGAGAGAGGGCCCTGCAGCCTCCGGAGAAGAGGACCAGTGGTGGTATTAGGGCTAATGGTAGTAGTTATGGAGACAGTGGACATGGACTCCCACCCAAAACAAAGAAGCCCAAAGCCCTAGAGATCTCCTCCCCTTCCCTGCTCCTGACAGGAAGTGACATTGGCTCCATAGCCCTTAACAGCCCCGCCCTGCCATCCGGGTCCCTCACCCCGGCCTTCTTCACTGCACAGGTGAATTATACTGCTATGTAGCTATGTTATAGGCTACTTGGCAGAAGCTTTTATCCAAAGCGTATAGTGTTGCAGTGATTTTCTGTTTCTATCTCATCTGTACCGTTGCCTGCCTGGCCATGGAGGGATGGGCTTTATATTTTCTCAATTGTCTAAAAATAACTGAAAAAACTGACCAGCTAGAAGCCACTCTTAGAAAAAGTGTTCCAAAAGGGTTATTTGGCTGTCCCCATAGGATAACCCTTTTTGGTTCCAGGTAGAACCATTATGGGTTCCAGGTAGAACCCTCTGTGGAAAGGGTTCTACATAGAACCCAAAAGGGTTCTACCTGGTATCAAAATGGGTTCTACCTGGAACCAAAACGGGTTCTACCAGGAACCAAAAAGGGTTCTTCCGGGAACCAAAAAGGGTTCTTCAAAGGGTTTTCCTGTGGGGACAGCCGAAGAACCCTTTTAGGTTCTAGGGATCACCTTTTTTCCCCCAATAATAACCTTCCAACATGATTGTTTTCAGTCTTTTCCAATCAGTGTAGATGAAGGGAAGGAGACGAGAGGACAGATTTTTAGACAGAGGAGAAAGAGCCATGGATCTTATCCAGACCTGAGGTCATCAGTCTCCCCAAAGCCCAGCTAAAGTAGCAAGGCTCTGCCACAGGCCACAGGCCACAGTCTGGCTCTGGAAACACTTATAGATGATATGGGCCATGGAATATCATGGGCCACTCTTCAGTACAATTTTATTGAGCGTACTCTCTGTTAAAAAGCTGCATTCCAACTCAAGCAGCAGTGAAAATCCACATCAAAAAGACACATTTTCTACAATGTTTTTTTTAGTTAAAAAGATATCATTATCCCAGAACAGAAATTACACCAGAACAGAAAACTTCTGCACACAGTGAGATACAGCCTATACAGCAGGGATCATTAACTAGATTCAGCTGCGGGCCGATTTTTTCATGAGCGGATGGTCGGGGGGCCAGAACATAATTACAAATAATTTGTAGACTGCAAATTAAAGCCCAAACAGATATAATGTTTGACTAAAACATAATCATTTCAAACCTTGCTTACATTTGTATATGATCACGTCTCTTTATTATGTGTGGGAATACTTGGGAACAGATTTCTTAAATTATAATCACTTGGAGCTGATTTCCTGGTGTTTTTACAGTATTTTATGTCCACACAAAAAAACAACCAAAAAAAATGTTGTTTTTTTTCAGAAATAAAGCACCCACTGGCCAAATTCGGGCCGCCAGTTGGGGAACCCTGCTATACAGCAACAACAGAACAATACCAACAGTTTATTGGTGTGCGAAGTGAGATCAGAGGAAAAACCTGAGATTTACAAAAATCCTGTCCTCATCAAGGAGAGGGAGCGAGAGAGAGAGAGAGAGAGAGAGAAAGAAAGAGAGAAAGACAGAGAAAGAGGGGAAGAGGCCCTAATTGATGCCATATGCTCCAATCATTCCATTAATAGTGAAGCGGCAGACCAGGCAGGCAGGGCGTCCCACTGCTCTGCTCCCTCCACAACACTGGCTTATTTCTCTCCCTGGAGGTGAATTGATTTGAACATATGTTGCTCTCGAGCCTCTACAGGCGTTCCAAGGAAGGGCTGTGATGCCTAAGGAGTGAAACCCTAATCAACAACAATCACCCCTCTCCCCGCTACCTCACCCCTGTATCACCCCTGTATCGAAAGGAGAAACCACAGAAATGTGTTTTTGCTGTTCATAATAACACCAAGCTGAGGGAAATGAACATTTTACATTTCAGGATGTTTTCACATTGAGTCACCTTATAAAAAAGGGAATAATACTTTCCAAATGTATTATACCTCAAGTGAAGGAGTTTTATTTCAAACAGTGGTCATTGCAGTTATTATCACAGATCCAAATCTCACATACTCTTTACTATCTCTGCACCCCCCTCCCCCTCTTCCTTCTCACTCCCTAGACTCCGTCTGGCCTGCTGCTGGCTCACAGCCCTCTGTTGTCAGGCATCCACTTCTGGAGCAGTCTTAGTCCCATAGCCCCTCTGAGCCCTGCACGGCTGCAAGGCCATGGATCTCTGTTCCAGGTAAGCAAGACAAGGGAAGGAGGGAGGGAGAGAGGGAGGGAGGGGAGGCAGGGAGGGAGGGAGGGAGGGAGGGAGGGAGGGAGGGAGGGAGGGAGGGAGGGAGGGAGGGAAGGAAGCGAGGGAGAGAAGGATGGAGAGAGATAAAGGAAGGGAGAGAGCAGTCTGAGTCCCGTAGCTGCTCTGAGCGCTGCACGGCTGCAAGGACGCGGATCATTGTTCCAGGTAAGCAAGAGAAGGAGCGAGGGAGAGAGAGAGACGTTAGGTGAAAGAACAGAGAAGTGCTGAATGGACTGTGTTTGTTTGTTTACTGAAGCTTGTTTGTTTACTCCTGAAGATGGATAGGCAAAGAGGAAGTTCTTAGAGAGATGGTTCAATTCTACTCAACTGTAATAATGAGCGAAGCACAGGGCAGGGGAACCCCACACTGTTCTTTTTCGTTCCTCTATCTGTTAACATTTTCCATCCGGCAGTATAATGTATGAAAATGTGTCAGGTAGAATAAATGTTTGCATTTCTCTCCATGTCTCCATTTCTCAAAACACTTGACTTGCCTGGTAATATTAATACGTAATTTTTTCCACATCCCTCTTTATCCATTTGATCTTAAGTACACTTACCTCTAATTCTACATTACAGGTCATTTTAAGATGTTCTATAATAGGGTACTTAGTGTGTGTATAAAGTAGACAACCAGATGAGATAACATGAGCAGTCTTTGTTACTGGCTGGGTTTGTTACATTAGGAGAAGCTTTCTCGTCTCTCAGTCAGTATACCTCAGTCCAGCGGTTCCGGAGGTGTCCAATTTCAGCGCTCAGCAAAGGCAGAGAGGGAGAGGATATCCTGTGAATACTTCCTGTTTGAGCCCAAGGGAGCCGAGGCAGACTGAACAGGGTGGACTGGTTTCTGAGAGGGCTGATCCTGGTCTGCATCCCAAATGGAACCCTATCCCCTAAATAGTATACTACTTTTGAACAGAGCCCTATGGACCCTGGTCAAAAGTAGTGCATTATGTAGGGAAGTTTGCCATTTGGGACACAGACCTGCTCCTCGTTTGTGCAGCTAGGCTGCTAGCTAGCCCCCTCCTCCGCTCCCTTCAACACACACACACAAACCTAAGTAGCCTTTTTTATGTACAATGCGCTCACTTCTCCCTCTATACAGCCTGTTGTGGTGGTAGAAACGATCAGATGGGAGTGAGAAGGGAGGGAAAGGAGGAAGAGGCACAGTGCATAGAACAACAGGAAACCGGGAAACTGGAGCAGTGACAACACTACAGTTCCTCTCGTGATCGGAGCATTGGCAGAGAGACCTGGCAAAGGCTTCTGTGAAGTGGAAACCTAGTGAATTTGTTGGAAGGAATAAAGCACTCGGGGGCAGTATTAAATGCAGTGTACAGGCCTCATCCACAGTTTCTTCATCCACAGTTCTGTTTGCCCAGCACTAGTTTTAGAAAGTTTGGGATGTACAGTATACTGACACTTCAGGAGCATTGGCTGAACCTCCACCTCGCTTCCCCCTGCTCTCTCTCCACAGTTTCCCAGTCTAATGAATGGACACCTCCCGGTCCCCCTGCCAAACCTGGATGGGTCCCCCTCCCACCTGCTCCTGTCCCCTGCCAATCACAAGTCCTGATTCAGACTCTCTACTTAGACCATCTTCATCAAGCATCTCTTCTCAAGGACTATAATCATCATTAGTCTTTGTTTAATGTTCAGGCAAACGTGCTTATGATTTGGGGTCTCAAAAACTCCCCATCAGCCACCTGTATAAGTAGTAGTATTATTATAGTCTTCATCGTTAGCCTTCAGTTTCTGTAAAATGATTTTACAATGTAAATACGCAAGATTGACTCTACATTACATGGCTTGTTGACCTCACTTTTTATTGCACTTAAGTTGGTTAAAATTCCAGTTGCATTGTTGAAAGCACTTGGTTAAAGCCATACACCGTGAGGTCTGTGAGACCTCTGGCGTGTTATAATTAAGTACATTTCCACAGCAGGACCCTGTCCAAATGGACAGTAGTTAGGGTTAGCCCTGGGGTGGGCAAACCTTTTGGCTCAAGGGCCACTTTGAGTTTTTGAAATCAAGTGAAGGGCCACATACTATATGCGTGACAAAACATGTGAAGCCTTTATTCATTTTCACATTGACACGCAACTACTAGTGGACTGTAGGTGTACATATGCTTGCAGAACAATTCTTCCCTTGTACCATCTACACTTGTTTTTTGTGAACACATTTTTCACAAAATGTACAATTTATAACATCACAGACACAGTCAAACACACACACAGATCCTGCATCTCTACCCTTGTAAAGTAAAATCAAACTTACAGTCACAATATGCAAACTTAAAAATAGATATATATTATATGACTGGAGACATGCAAAATGTGTAAAAAAAAAAAAAAAAACTATTCTAAATTTGAGTGATACATATGGTAAGAGCATCCGTTTCATTTGGAATGATCTGTTTTTGAAAGCATATTAAGGAACAATTCTCATCTCCATTGTGAGCCATATTTACAGTTATCCAATCACCTCAGCCCAAATCTGACTGATTAGTTATTACCTGTATCCAAGTGCATTGCTGGATAATTCTCACTGCATAACCATCACCATGAAAAAGCATTATCCTTGCCTACCCCAGTCATGGTTATTCGAGTCTTAATGTGAACAATGGAGCTGGTCACCTCTCTTGGCAAGGGCATCAAAGTCTGGTATCATCTTTGATGTAGAGATTCTCAGAACAGCTTGGACAAGTGGTCATTTGTTAAATTTGACCTGTGAAGGGTTTGTTGTAATTCATGACTGAGAACGTTTGTTCACACACATATGTAGACCCGAATAAAACAAGCATCCTTTTGGCTTGCTTTTTAATGTTTGGAAACTTTTTTTTCATTCAGTGAGCAATAGAACTGGTCTATTGTTGCTGTTTTGTACTTGTCCTTCAAAGCACTGTCACATTGGATGTCGATGAGCTCCAATTGTGTGTCTGGTGGTGCTTTCTCACAGTCGAAAGACAGGGGGCATGATACAAGCTCCAGCTCAGTCTCAATCTTGGTGAAGTCTGAGAAGCGGCGGGAAAACTTAGCATGCAGGTCGATCAAAGTGCTACTGTATGTCTAAGTGCCGCACTGCGATGTGGGTGCGTTCAGTATGGCCAGTGTCGGAAAATGAGCGATAGATTGGCTGCTCATTTGTCTGGAGAACAACATAAGTTTGGCCTTGAATGCTTTCACATTGGAATACAGTTCATGCACAAAAACACAATTTCCCTGCAGTTTCACATTTAGATCGTTCAGATGCCCCAATATGTCCACACCGAAAGCAAAGTCGCCCAGCCAGTCTGTGTCTTACAACTCGGGAGAAGTCGTCAGACAAGTTTTACAACCACTTTGACAACATTTTCCAGCTTTAACACACTTTTACACAGGGCTTCCTGATGAATAATACAGAGAAGAAATATAAATTCCTCAGAGTTAGGGTTTTCTTCTTTTACTTTGTCTTGTAATCTTTTTAGTAGGCCGATGTTTTTACCGGTTAGATTTGGTGATCTGTTGTGACGTTTGTCAGTTTCCTCCACGGTAGATTCATTTTTTCCAAGCAGATAGACACCCTGTCATATAAATCAGAGTCCCTAGTTGATCCCATCATTGATTCCATTGCAAGAATTTCCTCTGTTATTTCAAAGTTCTCATTTATTCCTCTGACAAAAATGTAAAGTTGAGCGGCATTCAGAGTCCACTTTCCTCATTTTTGCAGCACTCATTTTTCACGTCAAAAGTCGTCAAGCGATGAAGTGGCTATGATGCCTGAGCGCATTCTGAATCTGACAGTAGGCCCAAATACAGAGTGCGCTGCCAGGCTACAGCGCCATCTATTGGAGGTTGTTTGTATATCATGGAATTAGTAATTTTAGGGCAAAAATCGTAACTCAAATATAATCATATTTAATACATTTAAAACGTCTCGCGGGCCGGATTGAAGTGCCCGGCAGGCCGAAGATGGCTGGACAGCAAACAGGTCTAGGACCAGGCTAGTTAAGCATAGCTTAGCGATGTATGACAACATGTACGACAGGATCCACACATCAGCTACCAAATGCTCTCTTCATGCACAGGGCTTGGTTGTTTTAATCTTGTACAAAATATATTTCTTTGTCTTTTTTTATGATTTTCATAATAGAATGTGAAACATTGTTGTTTCCATTTAATTACATTGAATTGCATTATATGCAGTGTGCTTTTTAAATAGTACCGGCTGTGCCTTTTCAAAATGTAAGAATATTATTGCTGTATTTCTCCTCCTTTAAAAAAAAAAATTTTTATATAAAAAATAATTATATAAAGAAGAGATTCCAAATCAATGAAAAAGCTTTGTAACACTTTAATGTTTTTTTGTTATGCAGTATATATTCTGTATAATTTTATATTGGTGAAAAGTTTTGAATAAACCTGAAGCATTGAATGTTGCAACTGCCTTCTGGTCTTCATATTATACAGTAGAAGTCTGAAGCACTGTGTGCAGAAGTGACACACCAGAAAACTTTTCCAAGTATTTTTCACCTTCAGTTACATTTTATTTTCTCTGAAAAAAATCAAGCTCAAATATAAGGAGGACATCCCCAACGACATGCCACACCAATAATAACAATGATCCACAAATAAACTTCATGTAATAGTATCATACAAAACATCAGGTAGGTAACACTGTTAAATTGACCGTAGCAGGCTCAGTACTGTATTCACTAGGAGAACTGGGCCTTTATTCATAAAGCGTCTCCGAATAGGAGTGCTGATCTAGGATCAGGTCCTCCCAGTCCATATAATCTTATTCATAGTCTCTTCTCAGAGCCGCTGGAGCACGCAGAGCGGAGTACCCAGAGTCTTATTCATTATGATCATAAAGGTATAACTGACCCTAGATCAGAATTCCTACTCTGAGATGCTTCATAAATATGGGCCTTGGACTAGTACTAAGAGCACCCTGAATAGAATCGGAAGGGTCCATCCGAAATAGCACCCTATTCCATATAGTCTACTACTTTTGACCAGAACCGCATAGTAGGGTGACATTTCGGACGCAACCGAGAAGTTCAGTGACTGTGTGTGCGCTTCTTTTCCCATACAGAGCAAGCATGCAACACAATTATGATGAACGCAATCCAAAACAAGGTACGATTTTACAGTTGGTTGATGGAGGATGGGAATGAATGAATGTATGGATGGATGACAGTGGTTGGACAGTACAGTGGGATTTCAGCTCCGCTCACACATCCTTCATGACAGACACAGGAAGCTTGGTGCAATAGAGAGGAGAGGAGTGGTCATCATGCGGTGGTAATAGACGCGTTCCAGGTCGCCTACATCACAGTCACGTTGTGCAGGGTATTAGATTGTTAGGTCATATTGATAGATTTACTGTCATTAAAAAAAGAGTTCCTCATTTGTAGAAGATCTGTGACCAATTACATTTGTATCAGATTTCTACAAATGAGAAAGTAGCATTTCATATTGCAGGAACCTTCATCAATATGACTTAATGATCCAATAACCTGAGCAAACCATCTGCAATGTAGGTGACCTGGACCATGGCCAATGTCTCTGGGTGTTCAGAAGAATTTGGGAGTCATATATTTGTCACATTCCTCTAATGCCTATGTCAAATTCTACATGTCTTTGTCTTTCTGTTTTTTTTGTTCATTCATTGGTCATGAGTCATGACAAGAGACCACAGCATTCTGGAATGATATGACATTGCAAAGCAATCATCCAGACGGTCTCAATCTTCTCCCTATCGGCTTGCTTCCGCGCTCTAACTAGTAGGTGTTGGGAGCAATACTGTTTGGTGGAAGCTCCAGTTCTACATAGCTTATATCCACTAACAACTATGTGAGCCTGTTTTCACCAAGCCAATCACTGCTCGCATATCTTCTATCAAAATGGAGGTACAGTATTTCAGGTTGACAGCAGGTGGATATGGTCAGGGCTGAACTGGCCTCAACAGTATCTTGTGAAATAAAAGGTCCAGAAATATGGATGATGTTTGAATGCACGCCAACAGAAAAGAGAAAATCCAAAACATCAGACTCCGCAACAACAAAGATCCCTCTGTCTGTCTGTCTTACACTCACACACACTTAGAGGAGTTTTGAGGTGGCAATAATGGAAATGAATGATGACTAAAGAGCAAAACACCACTTAAAAATAATAAAAAATCTATACACATTGCATGTTTTTTTTTTAAAGTGACTGAGCCAGTTAGAATCTTCTAGACAGTAGTTGGATTTTTAGCAGCAAATTCTCCCAGTTTCACCGGGCCAGAACCACAGGGGCCAAACTGTACTGTAGATAGGGGCCCCTGGCAGGTAGGGGGGGGCCACACAGAGGGAGGAGGAGGGGGGGGGGTATCCTACCCCCCTGGCCCTTGTAGATATCCATCTCTGGGACTGAACTGTCTCCGTCTGTATGACTGTACAGGTAGCTGTTGAACAGGAACCTAGAAGAGCATGCTCTGCCTTCTGTTCTTGCCATTACCTGAGGGATAAAACCAAAACAAAAGCACAAATTCATAATTTGAAGGGACTATTGTGTTATTGTGGTTTTATCTTAAACCACTAGGTAAATGAAGACGATTTGGAGGTGATAATAAATAAACACCTTTTTCAGGGTATTAATGTATATTGAATGTTTTTAAATTGTTTTTCATTTTTGAAAAATGGAAACAGTATTAAAATTGATCCCTGGGGGACTCCACTCACCTGACTCAGGATAGTTAGAGTTCCTATAGCCAGGATCTCTTTGCAGTTGGACCTCCTTCAGTGTAAATATGGATATGCCTGTCACACAAACACAAAAGAAAGAAAAGGAACGAAGATAAGCATTACCATAGCCAGAACAATTCAATTTCCATATTTAGAACACTCAGAGCTTTGTTACACAGTTGCAGCTGACTACTTGAGTGTGTAAACTGCAGACTGATATCACTAGAACAGTAAGCAGAGCCTGCCAAGTCTCCAGCCCTGCTCTCTGGCAGTGTGTGTGTGTGTATCACTCACTCTCTGGCAGTGTGTGTGTGTGTGTGTATCACTCACTCTCTGGCAGTGTGTGTGCATGTGTGTATCACTCACTCTCTGGCAGTGTGTGTGCGCGCGTTCCCAGGCTGCTGAAGTAGGGCTCTCTCATCGACTCATCTGCAGACATCCGCTTCTTGGACTCGTACTGGAAAAGCAACAACAGAGAAACATTACAGTGTGTGTGTGTGTGGGTGTGTCCCTCTATTGGAGAACTCATGACATACAAACATCACCACTCTGCATATCAACTCCTGCCTACAGGAAGCTAAATAGTAAGTCATATTAAATATTAAATAATGTACTGTACACGTCTACCTTCTGGTGAAGTTATTATAGGCCATGTGTTCACTGAGTGTTCCCTTACAATTCTCCCAGTTTTGTCCAAGTACATTGTCCCAATGTAACAACAACATGTGACTGGTTTTCAGATACGGGTGTTGGAACAGTGGAGCAACGCTTCGGATGATTGTTTATTCAATGAGTTCATGTGTTTTTATCCGTCCCTATTCAAATATAGTGGAACTCACTTTTAGAAATGACAGAAGCAGGTCAATGCCGTCAGTGTCTAACCTGAGAACGGAGAACCACAGAGAGCGAGAGAAACAGAGAGAGAGAGAGAGAGAGAGAGAGAGAGAAAAATACAGAGGGGGAAGGGACAAGGGAGAGAACAGAGGGAGAGGAGAGAGAGAAACAGAGAGATAGAGAGAGAAATACAGAGGGGGAAGAGACAAGGGAGAGAACAGAGGGAGAGGAGAGAGAGAAACAGAGAGAGAGAGAAATACAGAGGGGGAAGAGACAAGGGAGAGAACAGAGGGAGAGGAGAGAGAGAAACAGAGAGAGAGAGAAATACAGAGGGGGAAGAGACAAGGGAGAGAACAGAGGGAGAGGAGAGAGAGAAACAGAGAGAGAGAGAAATACAGAGGGGGAAGAGACAAGGGAGATAACAGAGGGAGAGGAGAGAGAGAAACAGAGAGAGAGAGAGAAATACAGAGGGGGAAGAGACAAGGGAGAGAACAGAGGGAGAGGAGAGAGAGAAACAGAGAGAGAGAGAAATACAGAGGGGGAAGAGACAAGGGAGAGAACAGAGGGAGAGGAGAGAGAGAGAGAGAAATACAGAGGTAGAGCGAGGGATAGGAGAGAGAGATTGGGAGGGAAAGAGATACAGAGAGAGACAGGGGGGACATAGAGAACAGAGGGAGGGGAGTTAGATCAGTGGGAGTGACTCATGGTGGTGTAGCAAACTCTAGGAGTCGACTATTCCACAGGATGTCCTCCACAGGAAGTGAAGCACACACACGCACACAAACACACACACAGAAAGCAGCACAGCACAAAAGCACAGCACACACACACTCTCAGAAAACATTTTTCAAAGCAGAATGGCCAGTAATACCAAGGTACTTCACTAAAAAAGAAACACCTGGATTTTACACATAAGCCATTCACTTTGGGAAAAGAGCTGACAAGGGATATGTGGTGTAGCTACTTGTTGTGGGAATCTGTGGAAATCGCTTTGGAAAAGGCGTCTGTCTGATAAGGGGCGAAATCCTAACTTACATTCAAGTCAAATGTTCACTTATTCATGCATTGACGACAATTTGAGAACTTCAGTGGATGTTAGGACAATATTTATTCATATGAAACCCCTCAGCTCCAACCACAGGCAGCCCTACATACCTGGGTGCATGGTTGATAAGGGGCTGTGTCTTGTACTTGGGGAACTTGTAGGACTTGAACTCGTCCATGGAGGAGATCCCAGGCCAGCTGTCCTCTGTGGGTGTGCCTGTTTGAGGGGGGTGGGGGAGAGGATATTCAGACATACAGGAAGGCTAAAGGCCCAGCGCAGTCAAAAACGTGATTTTCCTGTGTTTTATATACATTTCAACACTACGAGGTTGGAATAATACTGTGAAATTGTGAAAATAATGATAATGCCCTTTTAGTGTAAGAGCTGTTTGAAATTTTCAGTTTTCCTCTCTCCACTCAAACCACTCCTTGACAGTCCAAGCTAAATTAAACAATCACAGTGCGGTACTTAATTGTTAACCAGAAATGATTTGATATTGAGATAAAAACAGCTGCATTGGACCTTTAATCATAACAGCTGACTTAGATTAACTTTACTTTTCCAGAGACAATTTTATGTGTGGTACTGTGGCATATACACTACCAGTCAAAAGTTTGGACACACCTACTCATTCAAGGGTTTTTCTTTATTTTTAAAAAATTTTACACTGTAGAATAATAGTGAAGACATCAAAACTATGAAATAACATATATGGAATCATGTAGTAACCCAAAAAGTGTTAAACAAATCAAAATCAAAATATAATTTATATTTGAGATTCTTCAAAGTAGCCACCCTTTACATTGATGATAGCTTTGCACACTCTTGGCATTCTCTCAACCAGCTTCATGAGGTAGTCACCTGGAATGCATTTGAATTAACAGGTGTGCCTTCTTAAAAGTTAATTTGTGGAATTTCTTTCCTTCTTTATGCGTTTGAGCCAATGAGTTGTGTTGTGACAGAGAATAGCCCTATTTGGTAAAAGACCAAGTCCATACTATGGCAAGAACAGCTCAAATAAGCAAAGAGAAACGACAGTCATCATTACTTTAAGACATGGTCAGTCAATCCGGAAAATTTCAAGAACTTTGAAAGTTTCTTCAAGTGCAGTTGCAAAAACCATCAAGCGCTATTATGAAATAATAGGTGGTAAGCGTAGGGTAGGGTAAGGGTAGGTAACAACACATCTGCCAGGCTGATCCTCAACACGGGGGCACCTCAGGGGTGCGTTCTCAGTCCCCTCCTGTACTCCCTGTTCACCCATGACTGCATGGCCAGGCACGACTCCAACACCATCATTAACTTTGCTGACGACACAACAGTGGTAGGCCTGATCACCGACAACGATGAGACAGCCTATAGGGAGGAGGTCAGAGACCTAGCCGTGTGGTGCCAGGATAACAACCTCTCACTCAACGTGACCAAGACAAAGGAGATGATTGTGGACTACAGGAAAAAAAAGAGGACTGAGCACGCCCCCATTCTCATCGACGGGGCTGCAGTGAATCAGGTTGAGAGCTTCAAGTTCCTTGGTGTCCACATCACCAACAAACTATCATGACCAAGACAGTCGTGAAGAGGGCACGACAAAGCCTATTCCCCCTCAGGAGACTGAAAAGATTTGGCATGGGTCCTCAGATCCTCAAAAAGTTATACAGCTGCACCATCGAGAGCATCCTGACTGGTTGCATCACCGCCTGGTATGGCAACTGCTCGGTCTCCGACCGCAAGGCACTACAGAGGGTAGTGCGTACGACCCAGTACATCACTGGGGCCAAGCTTCCTGCCATCCAGGACCTCTATACCAGGCGGTGTCAGAGGAAGGCCCTCAAAATTGTCAAAGACTCCAGCCACCCTAGTCATAGACTGTTCTTTCTGCTACCGCACAGCAAGCGGTACCGGAGCGCCAAGTCTAGGTCCAAAAGGCTTCTCAACAGCTTCTACCCCCAAGCCATAAGACTCCTGAACAGCTAATCATGGCTACTCAGACTATTTGCACCCCCACCCCATCTTTTTACACTGCTGCTACTCTGTTAATTATTTATGCATAGTCACTTTAACTATACCCACATATTACCTCAACTACCTCAACTAGCCAGTGCCCCCGCACATTGACTCTGCACCGGTACCCCCCTGTAAATAGCCTCCCTACTGTTATTTTATTTTACTTCTGCTCTTTTTTTCAACACTTTTTTGTTGTTGTTGTTTTATTTTACTTTTTTATTAAGAAATAAATGCATTGTTGGTTAAGGGCTGTAAGTAAGCATTTCACGGTAATGTCTACACCTGTTGTATTCGGCGCATGTGGCAAATAAAATGAATTGATTTGATTTGAACTGGCTCTCACGAGGACCGCCACAGGAATGGAAGACCCAGAGTTACCTCTGCTGCAGAGGATAAGTTAATTAGTTACCAGCCTCAGAAATTGAAGCCCAAATAAATGCTTCACAGAGTTCAAGTCACAGGCACATCTCACCATCAACTGTTCAGAGGGGACTGTGTGAATCAGGCCTTCATGGTCGAATTGCTGCAAAGAAACCACTACTAAAGGACACCAATAATAAGAAGAGAACTGCTTGGGCAAGAAACACGAGCAATGGACATTAGACCGTTGGAAAATTGTCCTTTGGTCTGGAGTCCAAATTTGAGATTTTTGGTTCCAACCGGCGTGGCTTTGTGAGACGCGGTGTGGGTGAACGGATGATCTCTGCATGTGTATTTCCCACCGTAAAGCATGGAGGAGGAGGAGGAGGTGTTATGGTGTAGGGGTGCTTTGCTGGTGACACTGTCTGTGATTTATTTAGAATTCAAGGCACACTTAACCAGCATGGCTACCACAGCATTCTGCAGCGATACGCCATCCCATCTGGTTTGCGATTAGTGTGACTATCATTTGATTTTCAACAGGACAATGACCCAACACACCTCCAGGCTGTGTAAGGGCTATTTTACCAAGAAGGAGAGTGATGGAGTGCTGCATCAGATGACCTGGCCTCCACAATCCCCTGACCTCAACCCAATTGGGGTGGTTTGGGATGAGTCGGACCGCAGAGTGAAGGAAAAGCAGCCACACGTGCTCAGCATATGTGGGAACTCCTTCAAGACTGTTGGAAAAGCATTCCAGGTGAAGCTGGTTGAGAGAATGCCAAGAGTGTGCAAAGCTTGAATGAGTAGGTGTGTCCAAACTTTTGACTGGTACTGTACAAGCAAACTAAAATGATTAATAACACACAACAGTGCACAACATTGAATTACATAGGTAAGAGAGAGCAAACATGGGCTCGTGAGTGGCGCAGTGGTCTAAGGCTCTGCATCGCAGTGCTAACTGTGCCACTAGAGATCCTGGTTCGAATCCAGGCTCTGTCGCAGCCGGCCGCGACCGGGAGACTCATGGGCGGCGCACAATTGGCCCAGCGTTGTCCAGGGTAGGGGAGGGAATGGCCGGCAGGGATGTAGCTCAGTTGATAGAGCATGGCGTTTGCAACGCCAGGGTTGTGGGTTCGATTCCCACGGGGGGGCAGTATAAAAACAAATATGTATTCACTAACTGTAAGTCGCTCTGGATAAGAGCGTCTGCTAAATGACTAAAATGTAAATGTAAATGTAAATTGATTTAACAGTAGCATGCCATGTCATATTGTATTCCCGCCACCAGATGGCAGCACTCACCCAGCAGTCTAAAGATGAGATGCAGTTCATCCTCCACAGCAGAACCAGGGAACAGAGGCCTCCCGGCAGCCATCTCATAGAATATACACCCCACACCCCTGGGGTCAGATGGTTCAGGTTAGGGGTCAAATAGATGTAAAACAAGTCAATACATGTCCTTTATTAGGGGAGTCTATACACTCCCTTCCACTTAACCTTCCCTGCCCTTCACTGTAAATTAGATGCATGTTTATTCTCATTATTCAGGGGAACATAAGGACTGCCAAAAGTGTGATAGATATAGGGGTCAAGATTGCTTTCAGTTTGGCATATATAATTCAGATTAGATAAATAAATTATGGCTCATGATAACCCTCAAGTAATGCTCATGGTTCTATGTTGGTTCTCTCATGGTTCTAGATCACCTCAGCCCACTCACCACATGTCTATCTGTGTGGAGTACTCTGAGGAGCCCAGTAGAACGTCAGGAGGCCGGTACCAGAGCGTCACCACCTCGTTGGAGTACGTCTTAGTGGGGACTGACTTGGCCCGGGCCAGACCTGGAACAAAATACCAATGTGTTACACAAAGGGACATTTCTGTCAGACTTTACTGAATAGACAGGCTCAATGTCTCCCGAGTGGCGCAGCGGTCCAAGGCACTGCATCTCAGTGCTTGAGGCGTCACTACAGACCCCCTGGTTCGATTCCAGGCTGTATCACAACCGGCCGTGATTGGGAGTCCCATAGGGCGGCGCAAAATTGGCCCAGCGTCGTCCGGGTTTGGCCGGTGTAGGCCGTCATTGTAAATAAGAATTTGTTCTTAACTGACTTGCCTAGTTAAATAAAGGTACAATTAAAAATTAATAATAAATAAAATAAAATGTTAGGAATCACGACAAACTGAGCCAAGCTGACATGGACTGTGCTGGCCTGGTTCCACCTCCATCCTAGTTGCTGGAACCAGACCATGTGAAAAGAAAATATCCAAGCCAGCTCAGTACGGTTCAGGTTGGCACGATAGTGTGAAATGTGAATTTGAGGAACAACCAGTGTTTTCAACCCCTAGAACCCAGGGCAGAATGAGAGCATATCTCTCACCGAAGTCTGCCAGTTTGAGTTCTCCTCGGTCGTTGATGAGCAGGTTCTGAGGCTTCAGATCTCTGTGTAGAACCTTCCGTTTGTGACAGTACGCCAGCCCTCGCAAGATCTGGAACAAGAATATCTGAGACAAAACAACACATGTCAGATCTCTTAAGTCAGATACTTTCAACTGTGGAAACACCAGCAAAATTATTATTACCTTAAACTACGCGAGTAGGAATAAAGACGTAGTAGTTTCCCTAAAATCTCCTTTAGATTAGAATAACTTTATTTTTCCATGAGAGAACTTCCATTTGTGGTGACACATTTCAATTCTTTGAGTTGACACTGCACTAGTCACAGGAGGAGCCTCGTCTCTATGGAGACAGGGAGGCCATGGCCGGCAGCCTGTAGTGCACTGTAGACACTCACCTTGACGTTCTGCATGCTCAGGATGTTCCCACAGTCGTCCATGTACTGCTTCAGATCCTTGTCCTGCAGGAGAGCAGGAGAGAAGACAAGATGAGGCACTGAATACAGCAGCAACACAGAAACACAAATGACCTCGTACCGCTGCACATCGACTCTGTACTGGTAACCCGTGTATATAGCCAAGTTATCATTACTCATTGTGTATTTATTCCTTGGCTTTCTATTCTTTTTGATATTTTTCTCTCTGCGTTGTTGGAAAGGGCCCGTAAGTAAACATTTCACTGTTAAGTCTACACCTGTTGTTTACGAAGCATGTGACACATTCCATTTGATTTGATTGATTTGACCAGGCTGTACTGTTCCTGAAACTATTACATCCTATCTATCCTCAATGATATGAGGCGTAAGAAAGAGGATGTTGTTCTCACCAGGTACTCGAAGACTAGCGTCAGGGACTTGTCTGTGTGGATGATATCGTGCAGGGTCACAATGTTGGCGTGTTTCAGGTCCTTCAGTAAGGACACCTCTCTGATGGCGGTGCAGGGTGCTCCTTCCTCGTGCTCCAGTCTGATCTCCTTCAGAGCCACCAGGTTGTCTGTCAGTTTACTCCTTCCTTTAAACACTGTAGCATACGTCCCCTGGAGGGAGAGACGGAGGGATAGAGAGATGGGTGAGAAACTTGGACTTTTGAGGGAGACCTCGCTTACTTAGGGGGTTAGGGTTAAAACACCACATTACACTCCGGCCCCCATAAAACAAGAGGGGTGAGATATCAGAGAGACAGAGGGGGAGAAGGATGACAGTGAGTGAGAGAGTAGAGAGCGAGAGAGTGAGAGAAAGGGAGCGAGAGAGAGGAAAGAGGGATGAAAGAACTAACAGATCCAGTTGGACAGACAAGTGATTGTGTGTGTTTGAGATCAACTACACAGAATTACTGATCTATAAATCACCTTGCATCCTAATTAAAGGGGAAATCTGCAGTTGAAACAATAACAAACTATTTTGGCAAAAAGGTGAGTGAAGGGGCTGGCGAAATGTATCCACTCTCAAATTCATAGACAGAGTAATGAATGCAAGGACTGACCATCCATGACTTTAAAATAACGTTTTTTGGGGAGACTATAGAGTGTTTGTTTACAATACAATTACAATGTTTACAAACAGTGGAGTAAAACAATCATATATTTTAGGTTCTGATGGGGTACGACAGTTGAACTAAGGTCATGAGGCATTTATAAGTTATATTCTTCAAGAATCAATGGGTATATTTAATCAATTTAAACATCCAAAAATGGATGCAGCAACAGCAGATTGCCCCTTTAACTAATCACTATGTGATCAAGATAATTTGTGATTCTGTGCTTTGCTCAAACTGATCCCCTCAACACTGATTATCAGCTAAGAGTAGAGGTGAGAGGTCAAGGTCTCTATGAACTCAATGACCAGGTGAAGGTGCAATGACTGAGTGTCTAAGTCTAATTAATGACCATTGGAAACCAGCAGCTGTGGCCTTTGAGATAGTGGTAGATTTGGGAGAAGACAAGACTGGAAACACACACACACACACACACACACACACACACACACACATATACCTCTCCTAATTTGTCCAGTTTGATGTAGGTCTCCAGTTTGCCGAATCCAATTTCTGACTAAGAGAGAAGAGAGAAGTAAACGATCGTATTAATATGGTGTATGTCCTCGTTAGCAGAGACGGACTCACACAAGCACACAGACACACACACGTCACAAATCCTTCTAACTGCCTCACGTGTGTGTGTGTGTTTGTGTGTGACAGAGAGAGAGAGAGAGAGAGAGAGCGTGAGTGAGTGCGTGCTTGCACATGCACTCTATATGGCCCCATCCCATCCCTTCCTCCACTGACTGGGGCTAATTTCATCTGACACTGGACGGACCATTAGCCTTTATGGCATGAGAGAGAGGAGGAGGAGAAGCAGTTTGGTGCATGTGAGTGGAAGCATGTGATTCGCTCAACAGAACAGAGAACCGTACTGTTCCTCTACTCTCATCCTGACAGAGGCAAAAGCATGAACACTCACGCACACACACAGAACACAGTTATGCAGTGTGCTCGCTGACAGATGCCGACGTATAAACACTAACATGGAGCACAATTATGCAGCGGTGCTGACGCAGGCCATTCTGAGGCTAGATGTAAACAGACGACAACAGGAAGAGCAGAAGAGACAGTCCAGGTGTGAGCCCTCTCATCTTCAGTCTCTCTCGATCAGTTTTTCTCGGACTGTATTACAGTCTCTATCACACAGTTTTTAATCTACCTGTTGTCTGCCTCTCTCTCTCTTTTGCTCGGCTTCTCTCCTAGAGGCGGCGGCTCAGGGGCGGTCGAAGGAGAGGCTCCTATACGTCTCTCCTTTCCCTCCACCCCCCCCAATCCTTCCCACCCCCCCAATCCTTCCCACCTCCCCAATCCTTCCCACCTCCCCAATCCTTCCCATCTCTCCAGGGTGTGTGTGTGTCTCTCACCAGTGATGCTCTTCGGGAGCGGCGGCTGAGGGGCTGGTCAAAGGAGGGGCTGGTCAGCTGTAGTTTCTCCAGGTAACCGTCTGGGATACGGATGTCAGCAGGCAGGGACAGACGCTTGTTCAGGTCCTACACACACACACACACACACACACAAAGAGAGAGAGAGACAGAGACAGCGAGAGAGTGAGAGAGGGAAAGGGAGTGAGAGAGAGAAAGAGAGAGGTAGAGAGACAAAAACGACAGAGAGAAAGCGATGGTGAAAACAGTGAGTAAACAAGCTAGTGTAAATCTTGAACACACAATGTTAAACCTTAGATAAACAGAGCAAGCTCTAAACAAATACGGTGGACCCTAAACTAAATGGTGGAAGAGAGTGTTGGATCAACAACACAGTCGCTGCTAGCCCCATGAACAACCCACTTTAGACTCTATTAGCCCAGGGTTTCCCAAACTCGGTCCTGGGGCCCTCCTGGGTGCACGTTTTGGTTTTTGCCCTAGCACTACACAGCAGATTCAAATCATCAAAGCTTGATGATGAGTTGGTTATTTGAATCACCCTGCATTAGCCAACAGAGAGCGCTGTCTTTGTGTGTGTGTGTGTGTGTGTGTGTGTGTGTGTATACAGTGTCTGTAGTTGTGTGTGCGTAAACATTCAACTGCATTTACGCGACACTGTAAATACTGAACTCTCAACGTTTTTTCCTAATGCTATATATACTGTATAGACACTGACTGACTTGACCCTTTCTGTTTCTGTTTGTCTGACTGAACGTGACTATGACCTCATCTGCCTTTTGGTTGGGATGTTGATTTATACTCCATTTGTTAATGGAATATCAGTATGGTTATGCCTTAGGTAAGTATCTAATTTGGTCCCTCCAATGCCAGGACTGGCAATATTGGGGGTAGGGGGTGACGACCTCTGAACCCCACCCATCCTCTCCAGTCGTCCAATCAGCCGGTCCTAATCCCGTACAACGGTGCCCATCTGGAACGTATTAGAGTCTGTAATCCCAGGCAGTGATGTAATCCCAAAACAGCCTTGCTTCCTCCCTAGTCTAGCACTACAGGACAATATAATACTACTGTACCTAACCTGACTGACCACAGACAAGACTCCATGTGAGCATAGTGGAGCAGTAGGAAATCCCACTCAGCGCTCCACGTCCTTTCCAACCGCTCCGCTAAAAAATGCTTCACGGTCACAAAAATAAATAAAACTGCTGCTCCAAATTCTCTCCATTCATTAAAATCACAATTTAACCAACACCCGTCTATTTTTGTGACTACCTGGACCTACCATTTGGTTTTGAAGTATTGAAACCAAACCATATGATTTGAATGAAAAGCATTTGAATAAACATGAAAAAGTGACAGTAAGAAGCGCTCATCATTTCAAATAGGCTACATGTCATATTAAACACCATATAAACACTCTAAATAGGAGCCAGACAGGGAGCTTAAGAAGGAACGAAAATGAATTATTTAAGCTATATTATTTCAATTATTTCAAGGCTATAGCCTACAAATAAATACATTGTGAAGCATTTGCGGGTAGGGAGTCAGGGACATTAAGCGCAACATTTTGTTGTCTTATAGTCTATAAATCGCTCATATAGGCTGTGACTTTAAACAACAAATGCCTTAATAGGCTCAGTCTACAGTGCCTGGTGCCTGGAGAGCAGGCCAGCAGCGGAGAATATCCTCTCCACACTTGCAGAGCCACTGGGGATACTAAACACCCTTTTGACCACTCTTGCCAGGCTGGGCAGGGATGCATTTATTTATTTTTCTATAGGTAGGCCTAAAGGTATTTAGGAAAAATAACCTCCATGAAAGTTGGAATATGCCAGGCCTATTGGGACCAAATCAATTATGGCCTATTGTATAGATAATAGAACAAAAATGAAGGAAACTTTTAAGCGATCAGATCTGTAGTTTATAAATCCACAATGACACAGTTATCTACCCACCTCGTTCCTTTCTTTCAGCATGTGCATGTAGTGCACCATCATGCTTTCAGGATACGTGTCTCTTCAGATTCCACAATGATTCTTTAGTTCTGGACATTACATCACAAGAAATGGCTCTTGGTTCTCATCTTTGTAAGTCACCTTGATTTTGCACCTGTGTGTTTTATCAGTTTCTTTATGAAAATATTTAGCGAACTCCATGACAGTAGCTAAAGCAAGGGGCTATTAGCAGCACACAAGTAGACTACAAATGCATGCTGGGCCGGGCATGCCTACTGGAGCGCTACTGGAGCGAAATTGGAGCAGGCGAGAAGGCCGACGCGCCAACCTTTGGGAATCTCACTCCGTGCTCCAGTCAAATTGGGCACGCTCCGCTCCTCGCTCCGCTCACATACTCTGCCACAGACACAGCGGAGGCTCAGTCACGGAGGACAGGCAGTCCCCTCCTGCTATTTGGACGCTAGGTGTCTATGTGTACAGCGTGTCCGGTTCAATGTTTTTAAATGTGTATGATGTGTATGATCAGCCTGGGTACCAGTCTGATTAAGTCATCATTCCACTCCATGCCACTCTTTGGAGTGAAATGTTAGCAAGGCTAGTGTATGATGTGATGTTTTATACATTTTGTATGGTGGAAAATATATTATATTCTTCTCCTCTGTGCCTTACAGGCAACGTCACCCCAGAGTGCTGGTATGAGCTGTGTGGTAGGCTCCAGGCAGCACAGCAGTGTGTACTGTAAGGGTCTGCTGTTGATGGAGCACTGGGACAGAATGGCTCCTAATGTGTATAGCTCCTTTCTCTCTCCCTAATGGCACTGTGTCGCCACTCACCAGGTGATGTGATGTTTTGTGGTGCTCTGGGCTGAAGCTGTGCTGCCTGGAGGGAGCCAAATCGGACGGCTCATACCGACACACAGGAAGCAGGACTCTGTAGTGAGTGGATCCAAACAGGAGCTAGCTAATCTATTGTGGATCGCCTACAGGAGGCAGACAGGAGAGAGAGGTGGTAGAGTTTGTGGTGTTTCACGTTACAGTGTAGCCCCCCTGAAATAAGCTGCTTAACATTTTTGGGGGTTTGGTTGTTTTTAATCTGGCCTGAACACTTGGCCTGCATCCCAAATGGCACCCTAATCCCTATATAGTGCAGTACTTTTGACC